ATTTCTTCTTTTTCTCTTTAGTAGATGCCGGGTCGCTCTGGCCCATCAGATAATAACTGCTGACAGGCATTCAGAATTAATAGGCAATTTGAAGCTACTTTTGGCTCATGTGAATGCTTCTGGTTGTCCTTCTGTAATGGTGGTACAGCTCAACAGCAATTCCCTATGATATGCTGGGTTTCTTTTTTCTTTAGTCACCGGGTAGGAGGTGGATTGCACAAGGCTTATAGTGACAACATACCGTGACAGCCTGGTCCCTGTCAACTCCATTTGGGCGGGGAGGGAAGAAGAAAGTGAAGCCCTTACTTGGGGATGAGGAAATTCTCCTTTCTCCAGCCCCTTAAAGCCAAATCAATTCCTCTTGCTGGAACTCTCCCCTGATTTATTACTACACACGAGATATTCCTTGGAGCTATGGCAAGGGATTTGTAGCAGTAGTAAGGATAAATTAAATTTCCTGGGGTTCAATCTCAAACAATTGAGAAGCTGGGCTATTCAGGAGCCATTCAAAGGTCCTAAGATGTAATGATATTTATTACCTTCACTGCAATTACAGCAGCTCAAGAATTCCACTTTGTATTGTCTGTTTTATATCAACATAAGAGCATAGATTGCTGTGACTAGAGCAATATTTGTGTTACAGTCTGCCTTCCAAAAAAATCCCAGTTGTGAATGGTAAATGCATTAAAAATAGGGAGATTTTTCTGCATGTTCTTATGTTTCAGTTGTAAATATTCATTTCATGAAACATATGGTAAATTGGGGAAAAAAATACATGTGCTGGATGTAGGAAGCCTGTAAAATAATCTGAGGACAGAGGAGAGAGGACTTCTTGTCAATTGTATCTTATTTTGTGGCCTTTACTGAAGTTGTTGTCATATCAAAGTGATGATTTGTTGTACTGTTTGCTTAGCATAACTCCAATCATGTTTTCCTCCTAGATTAACAGTGACAGTAGAGGCAAACTGGTGAAACTATATAGTAGCTTAGCAAAGTCTCGGGGACAGAGGAGCTGCACAAAGGGACGCATCATGCATGTTGGCATTTTGGGTGGAATTACCTGGGTTGCTGAGGTGGGGGGGTGTGGATGAAATGGGGAATTCATTGTGTGTAAACCCAGGTGCCCCATGCAAAAAGAAAGGAGCACAAGGGTGAGGTGCTTTTCAGTTCAAGATAAGCCTGAAGCAGTTGATCATTTTTTGAGGTCTTGTCCATCAAATAGCTCTCTATGTACAGTTCACTATCATGTCCTATAGTATGTGACGCATTCAGAGTGTGTTATTCAGGACTGGGGCTTCCTATGTAATGAGGAGCCTTTGAAAAACACTCTGGAGTTAAAGCACTGAGTTTTGAGCACATAAATGTGTGCCAATGATACCTACAACAGCAATACCCAGCCCTAACTGAATTCATGTGTTTTGGAAGTGAATTTAAAATAGTACATGTTGGAAATCGGGGGGGTGTAATCGCCTGTGCTTCTCAGTGGAGTGGTACATGAAGCACTTTGGGTGTCAACAGCAGGTACTCGCATTAGTTTGAAACAATACTTGAAAACTTCACAAGCACCTTGAACTTTAAAGGAAAATCACAAAGGGTGATTAAGGTTAGATTACAGCCTGATGGTGAACCAAAACTAGTATACAACTTGCCCAGTCTTAGGTTGTGTACATGTGCAGAGTTCATCTTTCCTCTTCCTTTCACTGTTACTGCCCTCTGTCTGCTTATTTTTTTCTGCATTTACTTCTCCCTTTGATTTATTTTTCACTTGTGCTCCCTGTCTCAAGAGACTGAGTCACAGTTGTAATCTGTTTGGACTCCCACCTGCAAATTTCCTTGTTCTCAGTACGTATCTTGACATACAACTGAATCCATTTTTCCGAAGGTGCTCTTGCCTGGGAGAGTGGTGCTTTGCTCTGTTACCGAGATCTCCCTCTCACTTGGCACCCTTTAACACCCTCCACCACATCATCACGCAGCTTTTCCGTGACCAGTCCATTAGCACAGTCTCCTTCCCTCCCTCACAGCTTGCTCCCAGCTCTTTACTCAGTACCCTTCCTTCTGCTGATATCAACTCTGGAGCTTTATCCCTTGACTCTCCTCGTGACATCTGCTTTCACATCCTTGAAAACTTCCTACCCTGCTGTTGCTGCTTCATGCTTCAAACTCTGCTACTCCGCTTCTGGTGTGCGAGGGGGGTCTCCAAACCCCCACACATCACCACGCCTTAGGCAGACAGCAGTCTTGAAAGGTGCTTCTTCCCTCCGATCCAACCCCTCACGTTGCCCTGATGCCGCTCTGTGCCGCCGGGACCGGAGTCAGTTGATTATTCATGCAAAAATGGTTTTTGAGCACTGGATTTTTTGATTAGGTGTTAGCTATCAAACCAGTGCTAAAGTCCATGTTAGGTGGTGCTTATACTCAGTTCTTGGAAAATGCCACAAGGTTGTTATTTTTTCAATATGTAAATAAACACAGAAATGCCACTGCCTTTCTCTCATTAAAATGATTAGGGGAACTGTAGGGAAGACTCAGACATACAATAGTGACACCATTTGTTGTTTGATACCCTCCATGGACAGCACTGAGGCCGCTCGGTTGATGAGATATTAATACTGGGACAGACTTTGAAAGCCCTAAAGAATACCATAGCTCCCTAATAGCTGCAAAAAGCACTAACCAATCTGGCCTGAGAAAACAACGGGAGGTGGGGACGGAAATCCCTGGGACAGGTAGTCATGTCCCTCGTCACACAGGTGGTCTTCCTAACTGCAGGGGATTGAGCAGCTGACCTCAAGTTGTGAGTGATGACGCTTTGCCTCGTCTCTTCTGTCACTTTGTGCCCTGCTCCTGCAGAGCCGGCCCCGGGCTGAGGGCTGGATGGAGGGGGGGGCAGCTGCTGGGACAAGTCAGCCAACTCTATGGAGAAGATCTGGGAGCTACAGAGAAGCCAGCAGGCCAAAGGAGCACCAAGGGTTCTTTCTAGTCAGCCGTCGTGTGTACAGCTGAGGCACGGCTATTCCGGCTGGGATGCAAAAGCACGTGGACGAGGCTCACAGGGTTTCTTACAGGAGCAGACAACGGCCCCCTCTCGGTGCACTCTTCCAAAAAACCTTTTCAGAGGCTACTCTCCAGCAAGCCTAATTCTACAACGCGGTCCAAACTGATGCAGGAGACAGCCCCTTCTGCTGGCCGGGATGGCTTGGTCCCTTTGCATTCAAGCTCTTGTCGGTTTGCTCGCAGTTGCCCCAGTGAACAGGGCAGCAGGACACGGGCCGTACCCCACGCGGCAGGAGTCCCCCCGGGGAGGAGCGCTGCTGTGGTACTCCCAGAGAGCAGCGCTGAGCCACCGGCCCCAACAGCAGGGAGCTCTCCCAGCTAAGCTCCATGGCACAGCTCTGCCAGAAACACAGTTCTACCTTACAGGATCGATTGGGAGTTTCTGACTGTGCTGCTTGGTTTTTATTTTGATGGCTACTGTTTAGCAAATCGATCCCATGCCTCTCCTTTTAGAGATTACAACTGTTCATGGGCATCCTGCTCCTTGCCTGCACTGCTTTCTATGACTGACTCTGACACTATTATTTTTGTTACTTACAACCATCTGCAGCCGGAAGTTTAATGTTGACAGGCAAAGATTATATGCTAATATTAAGAATTCCAAGACAGCTGATATTTGAAGTGGTATCTCACTCACCCCTGGACTCTTTCTTTATACTGAACTAATAAAATGCTGAACATAAAAGGATATTTTCTCAGTGTAAGCAACTTGCCATAAGCTACTCGTGCACAACCATGTTCATACAAATAATACGTTCAGTAGTGGCATTTGAAAATAGTATCTCACTAGATAGATCTACTTGCTTTGCATTTGTCTTGGTTACCTACTAAATATCACATCTACATTTGGATGTGCAGCCAGAGTTAAAAAGGGATCACTGTGTGCAGCGTCAGGCGGGCAGCAGTGGTGAGCAGGCTTTCCCCAATCTTGCACTCTTCATACCTAGGCAAGTCCAGGCATGGAAATGCTGTATCACACGCATGGACAAGGGCAAAACTTGGTTCTCATTACAAGAAATGGTGAACCAGAAGGAAAGAACCCAGTTTGAACCTCAGATTCCGGAGTTCAAGACTTGCAGTTAAAAAACAGGAGAGTATGTTTGAAAACAAATTTTCAAAAGTAGCTGTACTCTTGAACCAGACAGCTCCTGAAGTCTCATAATGTTAAAAAAAAAAAAAAAAAAAAAAAAGTTAAAGAATGGGTACTATCAAATGAGAAGCTGATTTATTTTCCAGTGTCTGTCTAGGCCAGTGCCTTGTTTGCTGCTAAGGGACACACACATCACCGCACTGGATAATTGGGGAGTGAACTGCATTGCTAGAAAACTTTATCATGTGTCAACGGTAATTTGCTGAGGTCCTGAAACACAGGGGATTTTACCCCTCATGCATTAGCTAACTAGACTCTTCTCACAACCTATGTAAGTTGTTAATTTTTTTTTTTTTAAAGTTTCCAAGGATAATTGGGCAAGAGGGTTCCATGGGCTATTTGCATGTTTTAGAGTATTCAATATCTGTGTGCTGCTTTCTCTTATTTTCTGAAAGAATATATGGGAGGTTTCAGTTCACTTCCCCACACTTTTTGCTGCTTTAGATATATTTTTATGGTATTTCTTCCCACTTCTTTCCTCCCTCAGCTAAACGTTCCCAGTATTTCCAGCCTCTGCTTACCTCAGACTTACCACTTCACTGCCTTTTTGAAGCTCCAAACTGGGCTCGCTTTTGTGCTGCCAACTGTTTTGCAGACATACTGAACAGAATTCAAGAGGCACGGAGTCCCCCAGCAGAACCCGTGCTGCTTTGGCCTGGGCCTGTCACATGAATCTTGAGATTATACACTTCCTAAAATGATCTTTCAGTACCTATTTTTCATACTAAATTAACGCAGCCTGGTCAGTTCACTTCTAAGACACCAATTCCTTCCCAAACAACTTATTAAAATGACAGGGACAGTATCTGTTGACTTCACTGTTGAGGGGACAAGCACTGATTTGGATTAGCTGTGGCTGTAGCTGCTTATACAAGAACCTGCATTCACAAGATCTCTAAATGTTTTTCAAGTTTGCTGAAAATATCTCAAGTTCTTGGTAACAGCTTTGCAACACTGCAGTTGGGGAACACATCCTCAGTGAGTGCAGAGAAAGGTTTGTGCACTCTTGCAAGTGTATGGGACAGCATGAAAGCAGTACACTAGACAGTAGTAGTCCTGGTTGTAAATTCTGTACTTTGTTGCCACTGCATATAACCAAGAATGTGGTTTTAAATAATTTCTGAATGCTATCTTCATTCTTCTAGCTGGTATGCTTATTCCGTAAATTTTCTGTCAAAGGGGGTTGTGAAGCTTTCTGAGTGGCCATCAAGAGTAAGGCGTTCACGAAGCAATTCTTGCTTTCTTACCAACTCCTCTGTTGCAGCTTCAGGGGCCCAAATCTACAAAATAAAGGTATTTCTAGTTAATTTGGATGCGACTTCTTCAACTGAAGCATTAAGAAGATACTGTTAGCCAAATAGAGCCATGTTTTAGCGCTCCTTTCTATCCTGAGACACAAAAAAAAAAAAAACAGTGTAGCCTCCCAGCAGAAGATACCATAACAATTTGTGTATATATAAGCTGAGCACTCTCTTGTCACTTCCAATCTATAACATGCTATGGGCTTGGATTAGGGATAATGCGGGAAAGAAGATCCAAAACTAATTGTTTAGAATGACTGATTCAGGCCCAAGATCCTTACAGCGGAAAATAGTAATTAGCTGTAGAGTCACTGGTTTGTAGCCTTATTCCCCTGAGACCACTGCAGAAACTAGCATAAATTGAGGTCAGGAAGGTGGTAAACAAACTCCAAACAAAACCTCTTAGTCAGCAACAGTATTCTCTTCCTTTTTAAGGAGAAAAAAGTAAAAAAATTCTGTGATCATCTTCTGTTTCTCAGTTATTTGCGAATGAGTATTAGCAAGTCCCTGATACAAAAATTATACTTCCAGTATTCTAACTCTAGGAAGTAAATATTTAGTGTAAATATTTAGTTCCATAACTGTCACTGACATAAGTAATCATGTCATAACTAATTGAGAAGACAAGTTAGAAGTTGGTGCTGGTCCCATGCACAAAGGCCTTTTATCCTTCAAGTGTAGGAATGTAAAAATCCATACCATTAATGTAGTTGCATTTACATTTTACTGCAGGTCCACTTTAATCCTACCGTAAAATCTGACAATAGCTTGATTTCCATTATGATATAATTATATAAATATATGTATATGTATATAATCCATATACACAAATTATATATAAACTCTTTCATTTACTGTTGGTTTGTGGCAATCTCTCTAGCCTGTGTCACGTCGTCTATAAGCTAGTTGAATTGTGAAGTCATTTAATCAGATTGTTCTGGTTTTTGATCTACAGCAAGATCTGCCTTTAAATTAATGTAAAACCGTGCTCATGTTTTGCTACTGTACATACTTTTCTGGGTTTGAATGAGATGTCATCTTTCTTGGTAGCACCACTTGTTATCAAAGAGTTCAGATAAATAACACTGTCCTTAAGGGAACCTGTTGTCTTTTCAAGAGTGGATTTTTCTACAACTGGCAGAGATATCTGTGAAGGCTGAAAAAGAAGTAGTTATCAGTTATACAAATACACGGTGTTTGGAAGCAAGGCACACATCCTGCATCTTCTGGTGCTTCTTTTGCTATCTATTTACTGCGGGTGTATTTTTCTTAATCTGTTTTTCTTAAAGCTCCTGGTTTTTTTTAATAACCAAAAACTGAGAGAAAACCTTTAAAAGGTAGGGGATTACCCTCCTTCTTGGACATTAAAACATTAATTGCTCTTTAAGACTCCCAAAACAATCACCTAGTACCACTGGTGATCCCATCCTGTGCCAGGTGGTGAATTAAAGAAGCTCCTAAGGTTGTCGTTCTCCTGCCTATGAAAGTCCTATACTGTCCCTGACAAATTCAAAACATTTGTGAAAGGGGGAAACCAACACTTTGGCTACGGGAACATACTCGCTGCACCAGCCGGTCGGGGCTGCCGAAGCACTTCCAACAGCACAGATACAATTGCATTTTCTCTCTATATAGCATCCTGGGTCTGACTAACAAGTACCACTGGTAAATCGGGAAGATCTCATCCACAATCGGACAACCAGGATGTGGTCACAGAGGCTGATGTTAGCTTGGGAACTAGGGCGATGGCAGGGCAATGGTAAGGTACTCAAGAGCCCCAGGGGCGCAGCAGAGGCGTGCAGAAGTACAACAGCCAAACATCAGTGTGGGATTGGAGAAACAGGACGTGGGCCAACAGTAGATAAGAGACAAGATGGGAAAAGAGAAGTCAGCAAGCCTGGTATCGCCTCAGTGAGTTCAATTATCAGAATAAAAAGACCTTTCTACTACTTTGGAGGGCTTCGGCCTTATCCTGTCAAGAAACAGGTGCTCCCTTTAAGAAACAATGGTTACTGATGTTCAGTGTTTACCACATCAGAGCTGGATGGTCATAAACTTCAGAAGGAGAGGGAGAAGAAGAGGAAGTATTTTTCTGCGCCTCGTCAGTGATATAGGACATAATTATTCAGTGAGACTGGGGAAGACAGGAAGTTCATATAATTACCAAGTCAAAATTTCAACTAATGAACAAGCACTAGCACTGGCTTCTGAAAATACTAACTTTCGTAAAACTGCCTGATTTATAGCTTGAGAGACATGGATGGCAAATAAATGAAAGATAGAAGCACTCAACTATTAGTAAATCAAACCTTGTTACCATCTCTCATACCTCTTTTTTCATAGCTTGTACCTCTACAGGCTTTTGTGTAGAAGGTGACTTTGGCTTCACAACTTTTTCTTTCTCTGCTTGTTTTTTTTCTGGTACTTCTGGCAAATTTTCCATTTCATTTTGGAGCAGATCAATTATTCTAGAATCTGCAAATACCTTAGCAATATCAAGAGCATTCTTTCCTGTATTAAAAAAAAAAAAAAAAAAGAAATACCTATATAAGCCATTGAAATTAAGCAGTTCTTATTGCAACTGGAAAATGACACTACAGTCAACTGAATTTAATTAGGTCTCTACTTTATTAACCATTCAGTATGCCAGCAGCATGCCTGGCATTGCTGTGAGAACTGGCAGTCATCAGCACTGCTTGCAGAGATAAGGGCCTGCAGAAATGCCCTTGAAACCAAATATTGCAGAAATTCTTGGAGCGGTTGCTTTGCTCTTAATGTCCCAACATTTGCAGCTTAATATACTGGTCCTGCAGGTTGTAGTTTCGATTTTTGAGAGCTGAGATCATTTAGCACTTGGATATGGCTAGCATAGTACAAGGGTAGGAATGCAGACCAAGTTATTGTAGGTATTTACCTCTTCCAGTACTTGCTCTGTGGCTGGCAAGGAGTGAAGGGAAAGCCCTGTGGTTTAAGTGAGGCTGAACACCTTCAGCGCTTAATAAAGGAAAAACTCTCCTGGACCTTTTGAGATGAGATCCTGTGGCTGTAAAGCAGTTGCAAGACTAAACTGCTGTGTGAATTGGAACTTCACACGGTAGCAGAAATGGAGAATACACATCCCTTCTATAAGCAGTGGCTTGTCTACTGGGCATTTTGGCAAGGAAAGTCTCATTATATAGCAACGTTGCTTCCTACGTTAGAGCAAAGGCTTAAAAAGTGATCAATGTTAACTGTTTAAATTACTTTGAAAATAGAGGAAATACTGAATGAGAGATCTGCTGTGAGAAGGTAACACTTCAGTATCAGTTCAGATTTAGTTTTCCGTTAAGTATTTTTTTCTCAGGAAGTAATATTTACACACTGAGTGGCATTTTTTTTTTTTTAACCAGTGCTGCCTGTGCATAAAAAAAAATAAATGATTTAAATGGGTGGCAGAGTACACACTGGCCACAACTAAAATCTAATTTTCAATCAAATAATATTAATAACTAGATAGAATTTTTTTCATTAAAGCCACTTAAAACTGTATCTATCTTGTGAGGAGCAACAGCCTCCTCAGTCATGTAATTAATCACATTATTTTCTAAATGCATAAAACCCAGGAAATCTGACTACTTGCAAGAGTGATTCCACACTGTAGAAAACTACCTGAACCTAACTCTTACCTTTATCCAGACCCTGATAGCAATCATGAATTCAGAGAACCTAGGTGTTTTAGTAAAATGTGTATACAAGTAAGGAAAAACAGGCCTTTTGGAGGGACATTGATATTTACCATTGCTGTTTGTAATTTGGATGTCAGCACCTGCACTGATTAAAAAATAGACTATATCCAATCTGCAGATCTCAATGGCTCTCATTAGCGGGGTTGCATTGCCTATTGCAGGTGCGTCCACGGCTGCTCCAGCCTTCACCAGCAGTTCAGCAATATCTGGGTGTCCGTTATAGCAAGCGTGATGGAGAGGAGTCCACATGAAATTGTCTGTTGCGTTCACATCAGCCCTACAAAAGAATAAGAGAAGTTGTGGCAGATGAAGCTAGCTATCAGATACAGCAATGCCCACAGCTCCAGGTACAATTACTGTTAACTCCCCACTGCAATGGCATATTCAGTGTAAATAAGTATTTTCACATTGCTCCTGCTACTCTGAAACCATTTTAATATCTGATATACAGCTTGTCATGGGGTAGTAATTGTAAGAGTGTGCCTGGGTGGTGATCATAGCCCCTTCTAGGCCAACACAATGGAGGTTTTCACAGGTACAGAGGAAAACCAGGCATTCAAACAGCTTCCTCCTGTAAAATGCTGCTAGAGTTTGTGCGCCAGCTTCCCTGAGAATGGCAAAAAGCAGATTAAGGAATTGAAAAAAGAATGCTTCTGGGCCAAGAACGGGTGCTTTAAAACATGTGGCAAAATTGCTAACTGTCCAATTTACAAATGAGTTAGAGGTCTGTCTCAGAAAAATCTGAGGATTTAAAATTTTTTCAGCCACTGTGTTGCTGGACTAGTTCTGTTTCTGCTCCCAGGTTAAAGCTGGCATGTTCTGGAGGATGCAAGGACTAGTTTAGGGGAGATATTTGCTATGCGCTGCCTTTGGCTGGAGCTAAGAGGAAAAGCATTATCAACTCTTTAGCAAACGGCTGTCTTGGGAGCTCTTGGGCTGGGGTCATGCAAAAGCAAGGCTTGGGGAACAAGAGCCATGAGAGCCGCTTAATGCTATTAAAAGGGAAGAAATATGGTTCCCCCCTAGCTTTGAAGAAAGCACAGTCCATGACCATGCCCAGATCTGTGATCTCCCGTATGTTCCATGCGTGGGTTCAGAAGAAGTCAAAACCTCATAAAGGGCTTCCCCAGTACTCAAGCAGAGTGCATTATTTTGGACTGTATTTAAGACAGCCTACAGGTTCTGGACCAAATTAAAGCCAGTGTCCCATTTACTCTAGGGACAAAGAGATGATGTCTTCCCCAAAAACGCGGAGGGAGGGTGAATGAAGAAAAATTATGAAGGAAGCTGCTTCTAGGCATAGCTTTTTGCTCTTCAGGTCAGATGGTTAATATTTAATGCTAGATCAAAAGACCAGCTTCATCTGTTCCTGTTTAAATTGTTAATCTTTCTCACAATTCTACCTTTGGTGAGATCTTATCACAGTAAATTCCGACCTACCAGTTTTACCTTTGCTATCTTTCAGTTGCTTAGCCACTTATTCATATGCAGTTTTCATTTCCTTTATTTTTCTCATTAAAATAAGCGGTTCCAGTTATTCCACTTTCTCTCTCAACCCAAACTCCATGCCTGTACTGATACTCTGTCTGTCCCTGAATCCTTTTTGCTAACTTCATTCTATCAGAAACAAACTGATCAAAGGGAACAGGAGCAACACAGCAGTGACTGAAAAATTCTTCACCTGATCAAGCACTGAATTTGCCCTTAGCCCAAATTTAATTTACTTCTGAGTCTTTCTGAACAAGACAGAAGGTAGATACTACCAATTTATGTTTAAACCTCAGCATTTTCTATAGCTCTGGATAAATGTTTTGTTTTCTATTCGATATGGATTTGTGATACTGTACTGAAAAGTTTGTATTGTTAAAAGTATTTGAACTCCCATGCCAATCTGAAAGTATCTGAAAGTCCACACTGCTGAAAGATGCAAAGCTAATCACCGTATTGATAACTTTCCTCTCCATTTTCTGATGGAAAAATTTAAAAATCTCAGAATTGGTACTATTTTTTTAAAACTAAGTTATTACATTTCTATGTCTAACCGTTAAATATGATGAGATGTGACTCCAGTGCTGTCTAGTGAGGCTTGATGAAAGCAGTGGAGATTCATTTGCTAGATTAATTTGCTAACTCTTGCATCCTTATCTTTGGAAGACCTGAATATACAGAGATACACAAGTTTCTATATGCTGCAGGAATGTCAGTGTAATACCAGGGTGTGTAAAGATCCATGTGCTGTTAAATCTTTGCAGGAACTGGAGCAATGACTACAGCCACTTACCCTGAGGAGTTAACATTAAAATAAATTCCAGCTATAGGTAGAGAACAAAGCTAATGTAAATATCTTTGAAAAATGTTCATTTAAGCGCTTATGTGAATGACTGTAGGACTACAGCAGTTTGACCACAAAAAAGAAGAGACTATGCGATTACACAAGTAGGATTGAATCTTTCTTAAATTGCTTTCATTTTTAAGCTATCGTTGAGATTTTTCACAAGTGTGTCTGTAGGCTACAAAACTGCTGAAGCACTTCTAAAGTGAGGAGTGGACTAAATAGCAGCACGCACCTCTGGTGTAAACCCTGCTGCCTCAGCCTGCTGAGACTGCACAAGAAAGCGATTATAAGGCTTATCCCCTTAAACCTTTTGCATGCAGATGCCCTGGCATGTGGAACAGGGAAGTCCAGGATTGTCGTGATGATTTCAGGCAAGTCACTTGAGCCAGATTTCCCCGAAGCCATTTATCTGATTTTGAGAGTTCAGTTTTGATGATACACTGTTTGAGACATGGGTGTGAACTAACTGCAGTTCCAGTAGACTGGATTTGTAGGCACTCTGCATCTGAGCAAAATGCCAACAGCCCAGGGACCAAAAATTTCACACCTGGGGAACTTACCTCTTGGGTGTTTCTATTTCTCTGTTACTAAAATGTGAAATATAATACACTAACCCCCTGTAACTCAGGATCTTATGGAATTAATACTAAACATTACGTAAATAAAAAACAAGCCATAGTCTGTTGCATCCATATATTTACCGGAAATTTATGCTTCTGGAAGCCCTTCCAAAATATCAGTTTAAAAAAAAAAAAAAAAATTCTGAAATGATCTTACCCCTTTTCCAGTAGATACTGCACAACATCTATATTCCCACTTGCACATGCAGCCATCAAAGGTGTTTTGTAATATTTATCTTTTATGTCTACTGGCACACCCTCCTCAAATGCTTTCTGTAGAGACAGAAAGTCTCCTGCTCTGACAAGGTAGTTAATATTCATGTACGTTTTCCTTGGTTCATCTATATACCAGGCACGGTCATCGTGCACGGGATGGGCAGATGGGTGGTCTTGGTTAAAATGGCAGCCATCAGCAAAGTCCTGGATAGCCTCGACCATGTACATGGGGAGGCCGTCTTCCCTACACGGACACGCGCTCTTCGGAACAACACAAATTGGCACGGGGATGGCGATGCCTCTCTTGCCTCTTCGTTTCTTCCCTTTCTTCCCTTTGGGTCCAAAGGACGTTATAAGACAGCTTTTCTGCAAGTATTTAGAGCCTTTAAAGAATTCTTCTATTTTGATTCCCTCGGGGTGAGATCTTTCATGAATTTCAGCAATAGTTTGTATTTGTTCGACATCTACAAAGGCACACTGCTTCTGAATAACTGATATAAAATCATCTTTAGCTACTGTCCCATCTCCTTGGTCGACGGCCTCAAACGCCTTGCGGAGGGCAGCCTGGTGCTCTAAGGACCAGTCGTACAGCCTCAGTGCCCAGCGGGGGTTGTCCTCCTTAGCCTCAGCCTTGGACTGCTTTTTAAAGGTATTTTCAATTTTACGCAATTCTGCTACTGCTGCTTTAAAACCACCTTCCTTGGCAACGGCTCTGGGGGTTTTTGATAGTAAGTTTGTCCATGTAGGATCACAGCCTAAAAAGAGGGACATAATTTTGCTGATAATGCAGTGGAATTCCTAATTACATAATATAAGAGACTTGTAATACACATGCAACTAATTGCCATAGGTCTACAATTTTATACTGTCTTAACTAGAAATAGTGATAGTAGATGGAACCACATCATTGATCCCAAGCTGGAAGGTTAGCCACGTGTCCATATTTGTTTCCCAAAGGGAGATTCATTGGGCAACCCATGCTCTACTTGTCTGTCCACTCATGAATATGTATAGAAAGGCAAATGTTCGGTGTAAACTTTACAGTTTTACTTGAAGTGGTGAACAAGGCTAAGAAGAAACAAACTACGAGTAAAATATCGCTCAATGTTTTGTACCCCAGCCTTGCAGTTTGGCAATGGATCACTGGTTAAATGTTTGAATCACAAGAACAGAACACGGGATTTTGCATGGTCCTCTTGAACCAAAGCTTGAAGTGCTATGACCATCTGATTAAGTTAGAAAATGATCACAGATGCTTTGGAGTATGTTTCAATACCCATGGGCATGAAGTTTTCCCCATGACTACACAGAGATCTTTTTTAAAATGATCAGCAAACCAAAAATTTATTTTCTACTGGAAATTTCAATGCAATACACCTAAAAAAAACCCTAAAACTGGAAAGCACTTAATACAGTCCCATTCTAAGTTATACAAACCCATGATGCTTCTGCTGCTTTCTTTGAGAAACTTTTTCTCAGCGATAGGAGTAGAAATAAATCATAATAGCCTATGTTAGGCAGTTCTTAATGAGAATTACATTTGCCACATGATATCCAAGGGTCAAATCCTTCATAGATGCCCAAATGAAATCTTTACTTCAGCACAGAAATACATGTGATAGTTGCAAAGTAACTTATTTTTAATGTACCTCTTTGTCCTATAAACTTGCAGCAATTTGCAAATCCTCCCTCTGCAGCGTAATGAAGCGGTGTGTTACCATTCATAGCAATCAGGCCCAAGTCTCCATTATAGGCTGAAATAATCCTCAGAATCTAGAAAAACAAAGACAGTTCCACCAAAAATTTTGTCTGTTTCTTAAGATGGGGAAGTGTGAGAATGATTTACAAATCAATGCAGTATCATATACTCCCTGTTGATATAGCAACCTTCTCTCCCATGCCCAGCTGGTTGATGTGCACATAACGTTCATGTTTTCCATAGTACTGTGCTTACTTAACTGAGGAGACAGAAACCTTGTTCAGTTGTAGACATCAAGGACAATCTTCATTCCTGCCAGCCTACTGCAGGCCACTGTCTTAAAGTAACTGACATTGCATGCACAATCAAAACTGCACAGTTTTATATACTTTGAAGATGATATGGGGAATAAGGAAGAAGATGTTTACCTGCAGCTATTTGCATTTGCCCTGCTTATAAGGGTAATGTTTCATCCACATTACATAGCTGTGACATGCTACACTTTGAGAGAAACAAGCTCTCCAATGGAGCTGTTCACACCAGACAGCTACACTAGCACACGCACTCAGCGGTACCTTGGTAAAAAAGGCTCTGCAATTATGGGAGAGATTCTATCACTGCTGAATTCCCTTTGATACTTCAGAATAAGCTGCTTTTGATTACTGATTATAATGCTTTGATCAGATGAGGTACTGGACTCAAAAGAAAAACCCCAAATGAAAACGCCCAACCCCCCAAAAAACAACAGAAAACCACCCCAGGTTTGGCTTTGCAGCAATCCTTTAGCAGCACAAATTATGATACCTCGAAAAAGCCTCCTCTGGCTGCGAAATGTGCAGCACTGTGTCTCTCAAGGTCAAATAGGTTAACATCTACTCCTCTCTCAAGTAGAGCACGCACCAGCTCGAGAACACCTTCTCTTGCAGCTTCCATTAAGGCTGTGCGACCCGTTGCCTACAAGGAAGCCAGAAAACAATACAGAATTTGTTTCATGTGCCAATTCATGTTGGAAAAATATGATCTGATTTTTGCAAGGTGGCCTAAAACTGAAGGTCTCCTTTTAGGTATTATTGAAAAGAGGAGACGAGTCTAATAGTTTCAAAGATACTTGTAGGTAAACTTTAAGAATCTCGTCATAATGCTGCTAAAATATGTGTAGTCAAATCCCAGTGACTCAAGTACATTAGTAACTTGAGTCCCTTGAATAGTCCCCATGAAAATCAATTCCTTAGTTAAGGAAATCTTTATTCTGTGTGCATACCCTCATTTACGTTTACAAAATTTAACACAAAATACCACTTCTATAGTGAGAGAGCATAAGGAGCTGTAGCTGGAGGAGTGCTATGGTGAAGGTAGAGCAATTGGGGAATTTCACTGTTGTTCTGTCTGACAGGAAAAGTTCACTTTCCAAACATTAGTGCTGTCCCTTTCTCTAGTTAACAGTGTATGTTTGCGATTAGTAGTACCTCTTTGTAATGGCTGACTTTGGAAGATCTGGTGACCTTCCCAAGAACAGAGCACACCTGAGATCAGAGATCACCTGCTATTACATACTGGCCCACAGCAACACTTAGAATATCCAACTTGCCACTCTGCGGAGGGGCAAAGAGAGCAGTGAGCTGTGGATATTGCCCCACGGAACCATAATTTCTTCCCTGACATCTGTCTTTCTCTGGGCCCAGCAAATCATTCCCAGTACGTGCCCAGGTATATGCCCATCATATTTTAACAAAAATGTGGGTTTCTCATATTGCAGGTACACTGAATGCAGGTACAGATGAAGCAGGTATGTGCATGGGAGGATGGGATAAGGATGTCCAAACATTGGCCTTGCTATTGCTACAAGCTAGGAAGGATACTGCAAAAGCCATGGGTAGCTTTAAGGGAAAGCGTGAGCTCCTTGATTTGATCAAGAGCACAGAGCTTCACTCCTTCAGGTCTTTGTTAAGTTAAGGAAGTAAACAACTAATTAACTAAAGCATACAAAAGAGAGAAAAGAGTTTCTTATGCCTCATCCCTGCCTTGATTCCCCATCAGATTTTTCATGCTGGACTCATGTTTTAGTGTACATTATTTCAACCCCAAAAACCTTAGGGCACATCCAGGCAAAGTACAAATCAGCATTGCCTCACTGAAGTACAGTGAACTGCAATTCCTAAGAGCTGGCCCAGTTACATTTTGGTTTTGTAAAATATTTGTACTCTAATCCACAAAAATCTAAATAAGGATATGTGGTTCAAGCAGAAGGCTTAAATCCTTGTTCCTGCAAGAAAGGGCAATACAGAAGAAGGCAATAGGTGTGGCCACAGAGTTAAGCACTCGTCACTGTCTTGTGATTTTTATGTGAGGATTTGAGGTCATATATTCTAGTCTTCTGGTAACTATTCTATACTCCTGTATACACATTCTTAGTTACAGAAAAATTCATACTGGGTCTCTTGCATTGGGATTTGCGCCTCTTTCCAAGAAATTCAGACATATTTCTTTAATATCATGAGCTTGCTCACACGCTTGTAGAAATACAGGCTTCTCATCAGTAGTACAGTTGTTAACATCTGCACCATAATCCAAGGCAATTTGCATACAGCGGTAATGCCGTTTTGTAGGTAAAATGCAGTAAAACAAAACACCTGCAAAGAAAAACAGCAGGGATTATGGTGCAGTACTAAATTATTAGCAAGGTTACTGAGGCTGTAAGGTCCAGAGCTGAACGGACAAACTATTTCAGTAGAGATCCATTAAATTCTCTTAGGGTATATGTATGCAAAAAAAGACTTCTGGTTTAGGGGCTTTGAACTTACTTGGGGAGTACATCAGAATTCAACAGGTGACAGGTCATGGGAGGAACATGATTCTCCATAGCAAGTTATCTTTCAGCTATGTACTGGAGAGACCTATGATTTAAAGGCCTAGACTGTTCAGAGGGAATTATTTTCATTTCCATCAAAGCTCTTATGGCAAATAGCTTCTGTTGAGCTGTAAGAATTACCCTCAGCCACACTTCCCGCTCTACAGATTGGACACAACACACATAGCAGTATGTAACACAGTAAGGGGCCATATTACCCTATTTCTGGTCTGATAAGGTTCCCTTTTACTTACCTTTCCCCTCCTTATCCACAGCAGTCATGTCTGCTTTAGCTTTTGCTAATAAATCCAAAATCAACTCATGGCCTAGCTCAGCTGCCCTCATTGCTGGAGTACGTCCCATTTTGTCCTGGACATCTGGATGAGCTCCTTGTTCCAGCAAGAAGCTGCACATGTCAGTGTCATTCTTAATGCAGGCCAAATGAAGGGCACTGTATCCTTCCGCAGGCTCTGTGAAATTCAGGAGATTTGGGAACCCCTTCTGGACTAGCTTTTCTATTTGCTTCTTGTCTTTCTGGTGAACGCACTGAAGAAGTTTGTAGATCTGCAAGTTTAGAAGTCTGTTATCTACTGGTAACATCCTGGAATAAGAAAAAATGGCTTCTTTCAAGGAAGTAATTTCTGCATGGGGAGAGAAGAAAACATGTAAGCTCAGAGATGAGATTAAAATTGCATGCGAGGAAGAACAGGAATCAAACCATGTTCAAGGTATGAAAATATCCACTTTAACTTGACAGAGCACTAAGCTTTGAATGAATATATCTCATTTAGTATATACAGCATATATAAAGACTATATAAACACATGTAGAACCTTGCAAAATTGTTCCTTCTAGTCTTCAAACTGTTCTGAAGAAGTCTCATTCAAAGTGAAAATTAAGTTAAGAAACTGTAAGGTAACTGCTTTCCATTCAAGGAACTGCTATAATCTACAATTACTCAGAAGCCCAGGGGGAGGCTGATCATCTGTCATTTTAGTACTTCAAAGGGAAAAAAGAGAAAATCACAAGTCACAGTGTCCTCTGCTGTTGCTGAAACATAAAATTGATACTAGCATCACCTCATCAGTACCTGAGCACCTTCTTTTTCTTAGTGGCTGATGTATGAACTTCTTGCTGAACTATGTACATAAAAGAGTAAATTGCATTTTTCTGCAGCAAAACCCTTGGGGAAAAAAAAGATGCAGACAGCAGGGCACTGGCCTGGAAAAAGATTCCCCCAGGTGATGAAACACATGCTTCCTGAGAAAAGTGCAATGCAGGAAACCAGCTTCGAATTTGCTGCAATTCTGATTTTTTTGTTAGGCTTTTTAACCTCTTTTAGCTAGTCTCAGTACTTGTGACTGGATGGCCAAGCAAGGGTCAGACAGACCATTTCTGAAGCTTGCTTAAGTGGATGGGAAGCTTCCTGTTGGCTTCAGCAAGCCTTGGGTCAGCCTGTCCTCCAAAAATGATGGTGTGCTTACAGGACATGCAGCAAAAACATGTGGAGGAACAGCATCCTGTTAGGGAATACATGGGTTTTGCAGGTTTTTTTTATTAGCAATATAGTCTGTAAATGGGGCCAGTCAGCAACCTGCCTGGCTACTGCTGGGTGCTTTGTGGATGTCCAAGAACAGTTTAGTTTTAAGAGAGAGATGCAGAAGGATGCGTAATTCCAACAGACTTCTTGAGGTAACACCTCCCATTCTGGAAAGAAAGCCTGAGAGAAAACTGAAGGAGAAGTAGAAAAAAGAATGAATGAAGGCTAATCATGTTGGGAATGGAGAGAGCACGGTAATTTTTGTACCACAGGTACAACATGCCAGCTGTCGTTTCTGTAACTACTGTCTTCCATTTCTTTTGCAGTTCTGTGGCCAGCCTATTTTTGGGACAACAGAGGCAGGGGTCGAATTTACTGTTGACAGATTTCTGAGATCTGTCCCTCTTGTGTTCTCCCCGGCTAAACAAGCTACTTGGCACTCTCCCTGTGCATCTGGCCATGCTGCCCGAAGATACCTGGACCCCTGAGCTGGGCACTATGTGCAAAAAAACCCCCATTACATCATCCAACACATCTGACTGCAGCTGATCGCTCCTCCCCTGTAACAAGAGTTAAAATAGCAGTGGTGTTTCAGGAGAGGAGTAAGGAAAAGGTAGGGAATGGCCGTACAACACCTGGAGCCACTTAGAAGCTGCCCTTTCTATTGCAAAAATACTGTAATATGTCCATATTTCGCTAGAAAAACTGTCATTGTAACACCACGTTTTAGTTGAATGGCATTATTATTAGAAGCTGCTCACTTGCACAAGCGTTTAAGTGGGCACTAAAATGCAAAGACTTTCTCATTGCAATGAAACCTGGTCAGAATAGGGCAGCTGCTCCCAGAGTTTGGGCGCCTTCTCCACTTAAATATGCTATTGCTTAAATGCTAAACTCTTTTCTAGGTCTTACACAACCCTCATTCTGATCATATACAAAGTATTTACTTACATTGCATGATTAAATCATTAAGTAGCAATAACTTAAAACTGTCACCTGTGGCTTGTTTACTCTCATCCCTACCATGTTGTGCTTCTTGTGGCTTATTGTCCTGTGAAATGGAATAAATGCAGAGATTTTTTTTTTTTTTTCTAATAACAGGGGTTCCAACTATAACAGCACTCTAGTCCTAGAGTTGAGAAATAAGGCTACTTCTGGGTAATGCCCTGGTAGAAGTGAAAACTAGAGCTCCCTGTGGAGTCTATCTTTTAGAGCCTGAAATGTTAGGAAGTCATTTCTGAGCAAATCCTCAACACAAGTTTTTCCGGGCTTCTGAGCACAGGGAAAGAAGTGGCATGAACTCTGCAGGGGCTGTGGCAAGAAGCAGCAAGAAGGTACTGCAGGGAAGGCTCTTACAGTACTTACACCACAGAAATGCAGCAAAAGAAATGTTTTTAAAGATACTTAAATGGAGCTGACAAGCTTAAATGTTCTCTCATACTCTCATTCCATTTCTCACCATGCTGCAGCAGTAAGGTGCCTGGGTTTACTTCGGAAAAACTGGATCCCTTATTCCCACTGCTATTCATTATTTGCACCTGGATTTTGCACAGCATTTTTTCAGGAACTCATTTAGGATCAAAACTTGCCTTTTTGTCCCTTCTTTCTCCCCCCTGAAGGTGCAAATACTGAAGAGATGACATTCTCCATGGAAATAGGTTAGTAATATTACAGAACATAAGCAGCATTGCAGTTGGTAAAATATCTGTTAGTAACATGAGAGCACAAATGGATATAATATTCAATGCATGTGGATTTGGATTTCTTTTACAGATTGTCCTTGAGATTCAGAACAGTGCTAGTGCTACATCTTGCACAAACATTGTCTCTGAAGCACAAGCATGTCCCAGACCACTGTGTTTTCCAGCAGGTAAGATGACACACTTGCAAAACAAGTCTGAAACTAAAGTGAAGTAAGTACACGATTAGGTATTACTTGTTCCTTACAGCCTTTGCCCCATTCAGGACATGGGATTGACAGCACACCTTACACTTCACTGCACATTTTCCTTTTTGCTCACAGGGTAAATTATTACACTCCATTACAATTTTAGTCCCAGTTCAGCCTGAACAGTTTTTCCTGGTGCTTCTGAGACGCTTATCATGATATTCTTTTAATACATCACACACCATAACAAAATTATTTCTGTAAACGTAAGTGAAAATATTTTCCTCACAACAGTGAAGTATGTTGTTATCGCAATTCAACCACCAGTGAGATCCTACCAAGTTTAAAGTCTTTGCTTTAAAGCATTAAGAACCAACAATTTATATTAAAACAACTGTAACATTTTAACAGTGACAGTTAATATTTCCTTGCAGTATTTCCTGAAAGTGACTGGATCAAGCTCTATCACAAGTTTCTACAGTAACAGCATCAAAGTAAGACAGGTGGGATAGAAAACTCTACCCAGAGTCAGGTCAAGTTACAAGCAAGGGAAACGGGCTTCTATAATGAAAATATAGCTACAGCATCCTGAAAATTTTCATTAAGTAAATACTACCAACCATACGTATTTCATAGTGATTTTATCACTTAACCTGTAACAGATCTTTTAATGGAAAACAAGGGAGTGCTAACATCGTTTTGAGACAGTCATGCTCTGGGGAGGACTTCATGAAGCTATAATCATAAATCCCAAGCCTGTAACATCTGCTTAGCAACAATTTTATCTGTTGACAAACATAAACAGAATCACTACCTTCATTCTGCCAGCTTGTATTATTTGTTTGGTTGAGAGCATGAACTCATTTCAAATTCAGATTAATCCTTTTGCCGCTATACCTAGTATTAAGAAAATAATCAGATTCTTGTTTTCTCACAAAGCGTTCCAAGCTGTGATTGAGGTACATTGATAGAGAGGCAAGGTCTGGTGGCCAGCACTCCCTCACTGACTCTGTGTCAAAGCTTGGTGCCTGACTGCTGCTGGAAGCACTTGGCTCCTTTTTTCAAAGTTTTCAACATTTTTCAGCTCCAACATTTCAAGTTAAAACATTCCTTTTGTTATCACTATTCACAAACCAGTAAACAAAATTTTCACGTGTTTTATCTTCAGTGAGAGAAAATAGCTTAGCACTTTCTAAATTTAATCCATTTGCATGCTGGCCACAGAGATAAGCATGAGCCCTACATGCCGGTATAAAAGAAACCAATATGGTAACAGTGCTACACTATATTTACAGCTTCATACAAATAATTGCACTGGATTTTTGGCTGTGACTAACGTTTAATAGCAGTGATGCAGCAATATCCTCCCAAAACTGAATTCCAGTATAATGAATAGCCTATAAAGGCTGGGTTGTCTCTCTGAGCCCTTCTTGGTGTTAACTCTCCAGAAATGCTTTGCCTTGGGCTGCGGCGGCACAGCTTAGCGCCGAGTGATCGCCGCTTCCCTGGCGCTCCCCGTCTGAACTGAGCGCGTTTCAATCTGGAGTTGAAATGTCAGCCCAGACATTTCCCTCTGGGAAACCGGGCCCAATCCCAAGCGCCGTAAAGGCAGGCCTGAGGTTAGGGCTAGATTAGATGAACAGATGTGTCTTCAGTTCGCGACTTCCAGTCGCTCCAGTGCCCGTCCAAACTGGAACGCAGGAGAGCGCAGGCTGCGGGGAGGTGGGTGCTCCTTCCCCGGTTAGGGGCAAAGCTCGGGCTCCCTGCGAGCCCCTCGGAGGGGGTGACAAGGTGCTGCTGCACCCAGCGGCGAGGAGCAGGGGAGCGACCGCTCCCGCAGAGCCTGAAGAAGCCCTGGAGAAGCCAAGTAAGGGATGAATCTAGCGTCCGTTGTTTTTTCTTGGGTGGTGCCTCAGAGGAGCGGGTGGCCTGTGGAGGAGGCTGGTTTTAAGGGGAGGGAAGCTGCTGGACAGGGAGTACGTTTGGAAGGGTCGGAGCTGACCCACACAAGGACCTGCCTCGTCTGACCACGCCGAAAGGTGAACTGAGGCAACTTCCAGCCCTCGGAGAGAGGCACCAGGAGCGAGGGAAGCCTGCCGTGGAGGCTTTCCCTCCGCCACCCGCGGCACAGCAGCCCCGTGGTGCCGCTCCCGCCGCGCCCTCCCCTCGCGGGCCTCGCCCACG